TATTATTATAGTTGGTTGTAGAGCGATGCGTCAGTAATGTATTGGGAAGTGAGGTGTCGTGCAGTGTAGAACAGAGAAATAATGTAGGAAGTGATTAAAGGGTCATATTCATAGTGAAGTGTGGTGAAGTGAAGTGCTGTTGAGCAAAAATTCAGTGCGGAGTGTGATTATGAGGTTTCTTTTTTTAAGGTAATTTCAAATGTTTTATGAATTAGAGAGTTTTATATCATTATTATTTTTATTATTAATGTTATTATTATTGTTGTTATAATAATTATTATTGTTATTGGTATTATTATTATTGTTATTATTATTACATAATTTGCATGTTAGCTGTATTATCGCATTTATGTAATTACCTGGCCCCGGGTTATGCTCATTTGCAGTAAATTTATCTTATCATATCTTATCTTAAAGGGTTGGCGGCGATTGAGGAAACGCTGAGAAACAGTGACACACTGGAGGAGGAGGTGAACAGGCGGAAATTATGGAAATCAACTTGTGCATTATGATGGTTCCCATTATTTCGTTCTTGAATAATGTCGGGGAGAGGGAGAGGGAGTGATGCCGTCAGGCTAAGGGAGTGTCACAGACAGCTAGAGGGAGCGACGCAAGCAAGCAAAGGGAGTGACACACCCTTGCAGAAAGAGAGAGAGGCAGAAATAGTGACTCTCACGTAACCAGAGAGTGACACACACAACCAGAGAATGTCATCCACAGGAAGAGTGGCATACTCAGGCAGAGAGAGAGAAAGGGAGAGAGGGGGGGAGAGAGTGTCTCACACACCGGCAGAGAGACTGACACCCACAGGCAGAGAGTGTGACACGAAACGATTTACACTAATAGTCAGAACGATACAACTAAACACCTTGGTGTTTCACGCTCTGAAGTGCCCTGAAACACGCTCTGAAGCGAATGACACAGTGAAAGGAACATACAAGGGAGAGCTAACAGAGACAGTTAATGTAAGGGACACGCAGAGCGAGTGACCCAATCAGGTGGAGCGAATGACACAAGAGTGAGTGAAAGGAACAGAGAGAAAGAAAGTCTTGCCTCACCTACCAGTACGAAGATCACTTGTATCAAGGCACAGTTATAAGTTCAATATCATCACGTTCTAATGAATGAGTTTGATTGCATGTAGCTCATTGAGTGATGGAAAAGTAAGACCCTACTCAAAAATCATTCACACTTCGCCGCACTTAACAGCGATCGCACTTCATATGGAGTTTAACAAGGAAACCGGTGTCCGTCAGGTTAAATCCCACATCCGCAATATGACTGTAATGTTTGCGCCAGACAATTACCCATATAGTAAGACAGTTCAATACCAAAATCACTCTCAGAGCAATACTTGGACTCTTTCGAACTGAAGGTTTATGAAGGATCTGAATTGAAGATCCATAATAGAAATAGATAACTTTTGTTTATAAATTATGTAATTATTGTTTTTAATATTTCTATTATTATTATTATTATTATTATGCCCATTTTCTACGCTATTATCTAATAATACGTACACACGTCAATGATGTTTAGGCCGAAAGACATGAAGCGAGTGAAAAAAACAAGCTTCGAGTAAAGATAGGACACACATTTGTTTGTTTTTCGTGCAAGTATCTCATCCCATTTATTTGACCGCGTGACATCATTTTTGATAGGATCATACGGGTGACCGTGTGGCCTCTAAAATCTAACATTGACCTACAGATTAAAGAAAGGAATGATTTAGCACAAGGGCGTTTGTGTTTTTCCACAACTCACCACAATCATAATGCAGACATAATTGTAGTATACACCATTATTATTAGTTCTATTCTTTTTAATTTTGTAATGCATCTATACCATGGCATATCTAAAGAGAACGTATGATAAATATTTCTGATAAACATTTTGAGTTTTTTAATAATGAAATAAATTTCTAAACAACATTAATGAACGCAACGCCTCAAATCATTGCTAGACGCACGTGATTGTACTTTATGGTACTAGAGAGGAGAAGAGAACCGAAAGACGTGATGTCGAGAATGGAAGGCGGGAAAACTAGAAACGGTAGGCGCGAAGTCGAGAACGTAAAGACGAGAACGTTAGGGGTAAAGACGAGACCGTCAGGAATGAAGTCAAGACCGTCAGGAATGAAGTCGAGACCGTCAGGAATGAAGACGAGACCGTCGGGAATGAAGACGAGAACGTCGGGAATGAAGACGAGAACGTCGGGAATGAAGACGAGACCGTCAGGAATGAAGACGAGACCGTCAGGAATGAAGACGAGAACGTCAGGAATGAAGACGAGAACGTCAGGAATGAAGACGAGAACGTCAGAAATGAAGACGAGAACGTCAGAAATGAACACGAGAATGTCAGAAATGAACACGAGAATGTCAGAAATGAACACGAGAACGTGAGGAATGAAGACGAAAAAGAAATTCGTGACTGAATGAGGTAAACGGACAACGTAAGGCAAAAAAAGAGCAGAAGAAAATGAACAAAAAATGCAAACTTACGTTTCCTCAAACTCCTTCCTGTCCGCCCGCAGCACACATCCCCCCACGTATCCTCCACCGATGGCCTGGCACGTGTCCGAGTCGGTGTCCAGCACGAGGTTGTACCCGAAGCACACCTTCTCGTCGTCCGTGCACGGGATGGGCTCCCCGATGTAGGAGTCGTTGGCGTGGAAGCGCTTGTAGCCGGGGTCCGCCGTCGAGTTGGCGATTCTCGCCCGCGCCCGCCGCCTGGGCAGCCTCGCCCGACTCCTGGCCCTCACCGCCGCCGCCGCCGCGTCCTCCGACAGCAGCAACGACGCCGCCAGCACCCACGAAAGACACAACAGCGCCAAGCTCCTCGTGGAAAGGGCCGTCATCGTTGAAAGTCACCACCGCTCCGCCAGATACAATCTGTTAATGCAAATAGTTTGATGTGAGGTATTGATGCACATTTCAGGGCAGCGACGGATAGATTGATATATTTATTAGCGAATCGGGGCGCATCAACTGCTAAGTTCATTGATCCCGTAAGTATAGTGTACTTTTCATGATGGAAGGTGACCTTTCCCACTACATGGTGAGATAGGGTGCCGACCTACCTGTCGATTAACGAGGTTACCCTCTACTAGGTATCTGCCACCAGCGGGGCACCGTCCCAGCCGGGACAAGCTCTAAGCTCTCGACCGTTTTCCGGGCATGTGTGATAGTGTAGTGCAGGTAAGTGTAAGTGTGTGTGTTAGGGGAAAGGATGGGACAATGAAAGAGAAGGAAAGATCGCGCGCGGTCCGTGATCGGTTTTGAGCGGTACTGCTCAGACCTTCGACTGGTATTCTTTTGAGATGACAGGGAAAACTACCGACCAGAGCAGCCGGCCGCTAGAATTGTCCTCCAGACGAGACTGCACTGTGTGTTGAAAATCCTTCCACCAGCGGGTTTCGAACCCTAGGACCTCCCGGTCAGAGGCACTGCAGTGACGTCAGTTGATGTCCTGAGACACGGTGTTGAGAGCTGTTGATACATCTTTCCGTGCAGTGACTTACGTATGACGGATTCATTGATGTCCCCGGCATCGTCCACTGCTCAGATCATTCGTCCCGTTACATTAGTATTAGTAGATTATCCGTAGATTATATAGGCGTCGTTTGTCAGACGACGCAACTAGTGACGAAAGCTTCCCCCACCCCTTTACCCTCACTTCCTGTTTCTGAAACTCTGTGTACCTTCACTGAGTGACTAGCCACTGAAATACACCTAACATTGTGCGTGTGCCTATTTCCGGCGTACGCCATTTTATGCGTCGTCAAGTACGCTACGAATTTGTAATTACGTTAGTGTTATTTTAGGTTCTGTATTGGCTAATATTATGAATAATGAATACAAACTCTTTGTCTTGTAGCATTCAAGTGTTGTTCTGAACATTTAGCAACCATAATGGGACGATGGCGATCATGAAGAACGTCGCATGACAAGGTACTACTGAGGACTTTTCTTTAAAAGCATGAGAGGTCAGCACCTAGCAAGGGTCTGCTATGAGAGTCAAGTCATTTTGATGGATCTACAAAAACCTTTAATATATATTTTGTAACTCCATATAATACATGTTCAATTCATTAATTCAATGTTTCATTGTAAAAATGATTTTTTCTTTATTTTTACCCAATGTTGCCTTTCAGGCTATGCCTTGGTAATATAATAACTACAATACAATGCCTTTGTAATAATTGTAATGCTTCGTACAGGTCAGCTTTGTAATCTAGGGTTAACGATGTTATCGTGGGAGTTAGCGATGTTTTGCCTATGCTGGATGGACACATTGATACTGATCAACACGGTCGATTTGCGGGTGATGTGCTCCTGCATGTATCTCAGCCACGTTGTCCACCCCTTGAGCCGGGGCAAGTATCTGTCTTCTGACGTGTGTGTTAGATAACTGCATATAGTAAGTGTAGGTGTGTGAAGAAAGACAAAGGGATGATCGTGCATAGTCCGTAGCCCGTGTGTTACTGAACTGCTCCGGAAGTTTCTTGGTGTTGATACAAGAGATCACTGGGAAAATACTGATCAGAGCAGCCGGCCACTGGGAAAATACTGATCAGAGTCGCCTGGGATAACACTGTTCTGTAATCAGTGAGTAGCTTGGTTGGTGCAACCGTTGCCCTACGCCCAGGTCCACACAATCAGGGGCCTCTGGTATTCTTGGGGATTTACGTTTTTTT